GTAGGAAGAAATTCAAAAGAAAAGAACCCGCCGAGCAGTCAAATTCCAAAGGGCCATCACTGGTGCATCTCTTGCTGATATAATGGCCAAGAGGAATCAAAAACCTGAAGTTAGAAAGGCTCAACGAGAACAGGCTATCAGGTGAGGAATGTTTCATGAGCATTTCTGGTTTGGATTATACTATTGGGGTTTTAATAGACCTTTTCTGGTGTGTGGGTTTTTTTTTTAAATTTGTGTTTAGGGAATGATTTCCAAAGAGGTCCAGGGGCCTCTTAAAATAACTAGAAAAGTTCTGACTTCGCTAAAAGACTAGTGGAATTGAAGTTTACACAGCTTTATGTGGTATGCAGCTTCTGATGGATTTATGATGACCCTTGGGTGTTTTTCTTTGCTACATCCTTTTTTTACATAAGTCCGTTTTCCTGTGTTATTGCCACTGTTAACACATTGTTCCAAACAGCTTCTGATTTATTTACTTTATTTCCTTTGCCGTGCCCTATCACTTGCATCTATAGGTGAACCATCAATCATAAATATTTTTACTTAATAGTATGGAAAAGGAGCAGATGCAGTATGGATATTGGGGATGGCCAAGTCTGACTACTCTGCTTTGTAAAGGGGAACTACCCCCATCAATAATGTTCTTGTGTACCAACCCATAGCTGACATTGTAGCAAGTTTCCACAGGCAGTTAATTGCTCAGGAGGAGATAGCCCAACCTTCTTCTGGAGAGCACCTGGTTGGCACAAACTACCTGCCTTCAGGATTGCAGTGCAGCTTCTTGCCATAACACCAAATACCTACCTAGTCAGACTTGCCACCCCCATGTTCCTGCACCTATTTTTATGAATTATTGGGTCTGGTATTCTTTGCAAAGATCAGATTTTACTCAGGGGTTGTGGGATTTGAGAGAAATTGGTTGGAGAGAGTGGGAAGGAGGTAAAGAAGATCTTAATGCAAGACCAGGTTTAGTCCAGCAATCCTATACCATATTAACAAGGCACAATTCTGCAAGGATAATCCAGCAGAACAAATGCAAGAAGCCTTTGGTTTCCTCAGTCATCCAGCAAACTTTTCTGTGTAGTCACAAGTTAGCTTGTCCAGATTTTAGTTCAGCAAGAAAAACTTTTAATTGTGGCTACATCTCCAAGGTTCCTCTGGTTACACCTTGCCAAAATCTCTTCACCTTTTCTCCAGTACCATTGCCACAGTTTGTTGTTGTTTTTTAATTTATTTTAGTGAAAGTTTACAGAGACATAGGGTTTCCAGTCATTCATTGTTGCTTTTTTCTCCCTAACCACCCCCTCTTGAAAAGAAAAACTTGATTGTTATGCAATCCCTTCCCCCACAGTTTTTTTACAGGGTGGAAGTCATTTTCATATTGACCCCACAGCTGTTGATTTGCAAGACCATGCCAACAAGGGCTATTGCATTGGCTAGAAAGAACAATTTTCAAGGATTCTAACCTTGTATTATATCTAAATGATAAAATAGTATATGCAGTTGTTACATGCCATTGAGTTGCCTGCAACTCATAGTGAGCCTGTGTACCATAACTCTTAAGTGTGTCCTATCCTGAGGCAGTCTCAATCACTTGAGACACCTAATCTTATTTCCCCAGTTACCATGTCAATCTTCTCAGTCGATGGTCTTCTTCTCCTGACCCTCCACCCTTCCAAGCATGATAGTCTCCAAGGACTGGTACCTCCTGACCAAAATATGTGAAACAGAACTCCCAATTTCTTGCCTCCAAGGCAAACATAGTTTCACTCTCTCCAAGACAGACCTGTTTGTTCTGACAGTCCATAGTATGTTCAGTACTCTTCTCTGGCACCACAACCCGAATATCATCCTTAGTCATTGTCCAGCTCTCTGTTACATAGCATGTAATTGCAAAGACCATGGCCTGGATTAGGCGAACCTTACTCTTTAGACTGTCATTGCTCATTAACACTTTGTGAGAGGTCTCTGGCAGCAAACTTACCCAGTGCAATTTGCCTTTTTATTTCTTGACTGCTGGTATTGATTATGGAACCAAGCAAGTGCAAACATTTAACAACCTAAATCTCTTCTCCACCATCACATGTTGCCAATTGACCCGGTGGTGAGAATCTTAGTCATTGAGTTTTAATCCATATTGAAGACTACAGTCATTAACCTTCCGCAGAATACACTTTAGGTCCTTCTTAGTTTAGGCAATCAGTGTTGTATCATCTGCATAACACAGGTGATCCAACAGTGTGGAAATTCTCAATATCACTAATACAAGAGTACTAGAGGAATGTCTTGTGTTTCATTGGCTATGGAAAAGCATTTATATAGACCACAACAAATTGGGGCTATCTTTTGAAGACTGGGAATCCCAGAACCCTTGATTGTGCCCATGCAAAACCTATATTTGGACCACAAAGCAGTCATCAGATCAGAGCAAGGAAACACACTGCATGGTTCAAAGTTAGGAAGGGAGTGCATCAGGTATGCGTGCTTCTCCATATCTTTTCAATCTGTCTGCAGAACACATTAAGGAGGCTTGACTTAAGAGAATGTGGCATTAAAACCATTGTATAATTATTTTCTGTATGTTAAGCTGACTTGATATGATGCCTAGTGAAATTTGATTAACCCTGCATAAAGAAATTGGTGAGAAATGTTTTACTGTCACAAAACTATGCAATCTCATTAATGAACTATATCCTCAGAAGGAATAATGTAGCACTTTGCCTTTTTTAATTTTTTTTTTTTTAATCTCAGGGCTGCCAAGGAAGCAAAAAAGGCTAAACAAGCATCTAAAAAGACTGCAATGGCTGCTACTAAGGTAATTATGTGAATTTTTTAGATTTTACAAGTAAAACTACCACAGAAATTTGTTTTCAAAACAAAAATTTGTTTTCAAAACAAATGTATTGCAGGGTACTAATGGAAATATCATGGAAGCTTTTTAAAAAAACAAACACCAAACACAAGGCCCTGAACAAAAACTAGTGTATTTATCTATTCTACATTGGCTGGTTGGAAATAGTCACAGCAGTTTGAAGAGCCCAGGGCTTTTTTCCCATTATTTCAACACTTCTGTTTTAAGTCCTGGGGTGGATCATAAAACCATGTTTAGGGGTAAACATTAATCAGATAATTTACTATTTCCTGGAATACCTGTATAGAAGTTCAACTAAATGCCTTAACTTTCAACCTTATATTCCCAATTAATTTAAAGGGGGGGAAAGGATGAAGATCTTCTAGAACTGCATCCTGCTGAAATGGGGGTGGGGAGCATGTATCTTAAATTAAAAGGTGCACAGGAGGAATTGGTTGATACTGAAAGCTGATTAACGGAACTGTACCATGGTTTGTTTTGGTAAGGCTTCAGTTTGTGTAATAAACGTGTAGCCAGACTTCTAGTGCAATCTTCTTCCACACACTGACTGCAGTTTATCCCAGTGTCACTCCTGTCTGCGCCAGGAGTGGACCAGCTGGCCCCTTTTGTGTGGTTTTTTTTTTTGGCCCCTTTTTCAATTGAGACAGGCGGTGGTGCTAAGATGCTCAGGTCTCAGTTCAATTGTTTCTGAACTGCAGGGAGTAAAGGTCTGTTAAGACATTTCCCCATATAGGCGACAAGATGAAAATACCAAACTCATTATGAAGTCCCAGAAGTGTGTAGCCAATATGCTTTGATGAAACCTGAGGCTCACTTGGCGTCATAAATGTTTTTGGGGTTGAGATCTCTAATGACTAGTTGTGCCAGATGAGTTTGTCAGGTTTTTAGAAAAGTAGAAGATAAAAGATGGCTTATGCTTTTTTAAAGACTATTCTGCAATTTTGGATTTACAGAAAACTTGAGAATGATAACATAGATGTGTATCCTTCACTTAGTTTTTCTTAACAGTTGGAATCACAGCAGTACAATTGTCAACTGTTAGAACTGGTTACTTATGACTTGGACAAGTGCAGAATTTAGTTGGATTTCAACAGCCTTTCCATAAAGTCCGGTTTTTTCTGTGGGTGGGTTTTTTCTCTTACCAAGTACGGATCCCACACTTACTGTGTTTTCACTCCTCTTATCTGTGGTATCTCTCACTTGGTCTTTGTATTTTGTTATAAAGCTGAGCTTTTAATATTTATACCTGATTTAGAAGAGTAATAATGGGAATACAAGTAAATACTTAAGTATTGGGTACTTAAGAATCCAGACATAAGAATATGGTTGTGAAAAAGGAAAAAGTTGCATGAGATAATGTCATGAAATTGGGTTTTATGTTTTACAGGCTCCCACAAAAGCAGCGCCTAAACAAAAAATTGCGAAGCCTGTGAAAGTTTCTGCTCCCCGAGTTGGTGGAAAACGCTAAGGAGGCTCATAAGGCTTAAATAAAGATGGAGTTGTAACTCTAGATTGCTGGTGTTTTTACTCTCGTATTTTCACATGAATTGGAAATATTTTTTTTAAAAATAAACAAAAACCAGGATTACATTATTCTTGCTTTGATAGAAGAAGCCTTGTTTGTATTGCCTTGTTACTTAGTATCCCTCTTAACAGTAACTGGTGGTTGAGCTAAAGGTGCTGTTTTTCCGCAGAATAACTCTTAAAAGAAAGCACTGTTAATTCAGTAAAGAGCTGTATTGAAAAAAAAAAAAAAAGCTGTATTGATACATACTAGAGTATGTTTTGGGGCTGAGTGCAAATTGAGGTGTTTCTTAGGGGTCACTGAAACCACAGCTTGTAGTGACTGATGAAAAACAGATCTGAGCCTGCAAGGAATAGCCCCTCTTGACAAACATGCTCAAGCTGTGAAACAGCCTTCCACTCTGTACATCTCATTGCTTTTTTTAGATAGACTTGTTTTGGCAGTCCGTGGGATATTGTTCTCTCCAATATCACAACTCAAAAGCATCAATTCTATAGTCTTTATTCATTGTCCAGTTTTTCAGATGTATAGGAAGTAATTGAAAACACTCAACACACAGCACTCTTGAGCACTTTGGAGAAACCCTGACATTTCCCGATGTAACACAACCTTTGTTCAGTATATGTACGTAATTTTGTACAGTGGTCCCCATACTTTGCACTTAAAATCTGTAAATTGTCAATTCAGTTATTCAGGACTAGAAAACAACTGGGCTTCTGTTTTGTGTTAAGTGCTGTCAGAGCTGACCCACCCACCAGTGGCCTTTGAGGGTATGAATTGCATAGGAGACTGCCCATCTTTGTCCCTTGGAATCTACCAAACGACCTGCCTTTGGGTTGGCAGTGTAACTTACCTCAAGTCCACCAGAGCTCCCCAACTGTGATAAGTTTTTTTTTTTGCAGTTTTTATGGTTTATTTAGCACAAATAAAATGTGCAAACAAGCTTTCTATTCATTTTCTTTGCTGCGCAGTCTGGCATTGGGATTGGTGACTAATGGCCAGCCGGGCTGCTCTTTCCACAATGGCTTTGCTGTTCTTGGAGGAAACATTGTGCGCAATCTCTGCACAGTAAGGTTTGTTGCACATCAGCACCTCCAGCTCCTTGACATTGTGGACTAGGAATTTGCGGAAGCCACTGGGCAACATGTGTTTTGTCTTCTTGTTGCTCCCGTAACCAATGTTAGGCATCAAGATCAGGCCCTTAAATCTCTGAACCCTGTTGTCGATGCCTCTGGGCTTGCGCCAATTACGCTTAATTTTGACATAACGGTCTGACTGGTGGCGGATGAATTTCTTGGTCCTCTTTTTGACGATCTTTGGCTTCAGTAGGGGTCTGAGGGCAGCCATTATGCCAGTGGCAGCTGACAACCACCTCCGTAGAAAAGAGGATAAGAGATAAGTTTATTTTTAAAACAGGTTAATCTTGACATCTTAAAAGGTTTTCATTCAGTGGAACAATCTATCCCTCCTTGAATGGAGGTGGGTTTTGTGGTTTTATTGTAGGACAAGGTTTCAGTTTGCAAGGCATGAATCTTACTCAAGTTGACAGCATCTGACACCAACAAAGTCTGTCACTCTCCTAGAATTAGAACATCCTAAATGAAGGATCATAGCTGATATATTAGATTTTCACTGGCTGTACATGATAAGGGATTGCACATCTTTCTCTGAGAGCTGCCACCTTGGCGTTAGCAAAACTCCCTATAGAAGGATTAGAGAAAAACTCATACACTGTTGATTGGGTTAGAAGGCAGTTTGGTGTGTCTTCAAAAAACTGAATGTTGAAATTACATGAGCCAGCTATCCCACTGCTTGGAATATACTTGAGAAAATTAGAACTGAAGCAGATTTGTACACCAACGTCCATAGGTTACCATTGCAAGAACATGGAAACAGCCCAAATATCCAACCACAATTGGATTGAGAAATCTGGTACACTCACAGAATAGAATACTACACAGTACTAAGGAGCAACGATTTTGAAAGTTACTACCTGGGAGGGACTGGAGAGCATTATGTTGAGTGAAGTAACTCGGTCTCATAAGGACATACTGTGTAAGACCATTGTAGAAAACTAGTAAAATGTGTATAGGATTCAAGGGGGAAGAAGGTAGGAGCAGAGGAGTGAGGATGGGCAGGGGAATCATAAAGCTGCATAATTTGATGGGTAGATGGAGGGTTAAGTAAAGGAAATGGGAACAATCCTGTGAGGATCTGGAAAGAGGGTAATGTGGGTTCAATGTTGATTAGTTTTTTCATTTAAATAAAATTTAATGTTGATTAGTTTTTATGTAATGAATGGGAATGTATGAACTGTAATGTGAAGAGTGTGAAATAGTTAAAAAAACCCACAACTCCCTATAAATTATACAGTATATGTTAAATTCAGTTTGTGTTCTAGGTCTTGCAGGTAGGTCCCCAGTGAGCTCTGGTGGCAGCCCTTGGGACATTACACTAACTCAGAGACCTTGCATTTACAATCAAGCTGCTCTGCAAGACAAGACAGTCCTTTTACAATTTACAGCCTCAAATTCATTAGAGGGTTGCTGTAAGTTGGAACTGAATTCTATGTTCAGTTCTGTGTTGCAAACCAAAAAGTCAGTGGTTTGAATCTACCAGCTGCTCAGTTGGAGAAATGGGATAGTCGTCTATTAAGATTAGTTGGGTTTTTTTTGGTGTTTTTTTTTTTTTAATTTTATTATTTTTTGTGCATGTACCGTCAAATCAGATCTGACTGGTACAGGAGGAAATTGTCCCTCCTCCGGCAGAGCATCTGGTGGATTCAAACCTTGTACCTTTGGGATAAGATTAGTTGTTTTTAAAAAAAAGTTGTTAGGTGCCATCACGTCAAGGGCTCATACTGACCTTATGAATGACAGGTTTGAACCTTGCCCTATCCTACACCATCCTCCCAGCCTGCCAAGCTGTAGGTCACTGTGTCACACTATCTCATTGGGGGACTTCGTCTTTTTTATTGAAATTTCTGCCTTTTCAAGCATGATAGCATGATCTCTAAGGACTACTGATTGCTCCTGAAAATGTCCAAAATTAAGTGAGATAAAATTTGACCATCCTACTTTTTATCATAAAAATAAATAGTGGATATGAATGATTGATTGTAAGCCAACAGAAAATTTTATGAGCCATTTTAGTTTCAGTAGTCTGTAGGTAGTGATGATGCTAACCCAAGGGTGGTCCTTTTCGAGCCTTTTGAATCCACCAGCAGCTCTTGGGGATAAAGATGGTCCATTAGCCATAACCATCTTTATTTACAGCCTTTGAAAATCCGCTGAAGAGTTACAAGTTTTCCAGCCCCACAGCAGTTAAGTTTTTTGAGTTTAAAGATTAAGATTTTATTAGGAGAAAACTGTGTTGTATGAGATGGAATGTGGCATCAGGATTGGAGGAAGACTCATCAACAACCTATGCTATGCAGATGGCACAACCTTGCTTGCTGAAACTGAGGAATACTTGAAATATTTGGGACAGAAGGTCAAGGACTAAAGCCTTCAATAATGGATTGAAGCTCAACATCAAGAAAGATTCTCACTACTTGGCCAACTGGAAGCATGATGACAGATGGTGAAGAGATTGTTAACAGCTTCAGTTTGCTTGGTTCCACAATCTACACTCTTGGTATCAGTAGCCAGGAAATCAAAAGAAGAATTGCACTGGAAAAGTCTGCTGTCAGGGACCTCTCCAGAGTACTGAAGAACAACAATGTTGGTCTGGATAGATAAAGGTGCACCTGATCCAGGCCATGTTGTGTTGTTATGTGCCGTCGAGTTGCCTGCGACCCTATGTACAACAGCCCTAAACTCCGCTCTGTCCTGTGCCAATCGCACTGTCTCTGACACTCCCATCCTAATTATCCCAGTCACTGAATCAATCCACCTCATAGAGGGCCTTCCTCTCCTGCGCTGTCCCTCCACCCTCCCAAGCATGATGTCCCTCTCTAAGGAC